CCGCCCTGTGCCTAGCCAAGGCCCGCGTGGAGCAGCTGAGGCGAGAGGCCGGCCGCATCGAGGCCCGTGAGATCCAGAGACGGGTATATATGGGTTCCCCGGGGCGGGAAGGAACCTGCAGCTGAAGGTGGAGCTCCAGGTCTTGAACCCAGAAGGCATGCCACCGAAGCGGGTGCTGTTTTCCTGCTCGCCAGGTGGTCCGGGTCTACTGCTACGTGACAGTGGTGAGCCTGCAGTACCTGACGCCGCTCATCCTCACTCTCAACTGCACGCTGCTGCTCAAGTCGCTGGGTGAGCAGCTGCAGGCCGGGCACCACCAGGAGCATAGGCTGGGAGGTGGGTGGAGTGAGGGTGGAGCCAGGGCAGGGATAACGCCCAGGCAGCAGTGGAGCAAGGTTGAGCCTGAGCAGGAGGTTGTACCTGATTAGGACCAGGACACAAGGTTGGAGCCAGGGCAGGGGTGGAGGGAGAGGTGGAGCCTGAGCTGGAGGTGGAGCCTGAGTAGGGGCAGGACAGGAAGTGAGGCCAGGGCAGGGGCGGAGCCTTGGGGGTGTGGCAGGAGGTGGAGCCTGAGTAAGGGCAGAAGAGAAAGTGAGGCCAGGACAGGGGCGGAGCCCAGGGGGGCAGCAGGAGGTGCAGCCTGAGCAGGGGCAGAGCCTGGGCAAGGAGGTAAGGGGAGCCCGGGCAGGAAGTGGTGCTTGAGTCAGGCCAAGGCAGGAGATGGGGCCAGGACAGGGGCGGAGCCTAAGTAGAGGAGGTACAGGGGTGGGGCTTGGGCAGGAGGTGGGGCCTTATTCGGGTCAGAACGCTAAATGAACCCAGAACAGGGGTGGAGCCTGAGCAGGAAGTGGTCCCAGAGTCAGGTCAAGGTAGGTGGGGGGGCCAGGGCAGAAGGTGGAGCCTAAGAAGAGGTGGGTGGGGCCCGGGCAGGAGTGGAGCCAAGAGGTGGGGCGAGGACAGAGGTGGAGCCTGGGTCGAGATGGGCGTGGCCTGAGCAAGAGGTGGAGCCTGAGTACAGTCAAGGTAGGAGATGGGGCCAGGACAGGGGTGGGGCTTGGGGAAAAGGTGAGAGCGTAAGTAGAGATGGGGCAGAGCCTGGGCAGTAGGCGGAGCCTAAGTAGATATGGGGTGGGGCCTGGGCAGGAGGTGGAGCCTGAGCAGGAAGTGGTGTTGAAGTCAAGTTAGGGCAGGAGGTGGAGCCTGAGCAGGAAGTGGTGTTGAAATCAAGTCAAGGCAGGAGGTGGGGCTAGGGCAGGAGGTGGAGCCTAAGTGGAGGTGGGCAGGGCCTGGACAGGAGGTGGAGCCTTAAGTAGAGTCAAGGCAGGAGGTGGGGCCAGGACAGGGGCGGAGCTTGGGGAAAAGGTGGAGCCTAAGTAGAGGTAGGACAGAGCCTGGGCAGGAGGTGGAGCCTGAGCCTAGGTAGAGGTGGGACAGTGGTGGGGCCTGAGCAGTGGCGAGACAAGGGGGGGAGTGTGGATGGAGGTAGCGAATGTCTGCAGAATTGGGGCACCAAGAGGCCACCATTCTTGTACCTCTGTCCTTACGTGTCCCTCTATCCTTTTTTCCAAGGTGGCTACTCTTGGGGGCTGGGTCCAGTCCCCCAAACATCCGCTGTTGAGTCCTCAGCCAGTACCGTCCTCAGCAGCCCGGGTGAGGACGAGGTCCAGCAGACGGCAGCCCAGATCGCGGGGGCCCTGGGTGGCCTGCTCACGCCCCTCTTCCTCCGCGGCGTCCTGGCCTACCTCATGTGGTGGACGGCCGCCTGCCAGCTGCTCTCCAGCCTCTTCGGCCTTTACTTCCACCAGCAGTTGGCGGGCTCCTAGCTGCCTGTGGACCCTGCCGGGCCAGCCGGACATGGCCTGGTCCCTCTGTGCGTGCCTCGGTGTCCCCAGCTGCAAGATGGGGCTAGGACCTCCTCAGTCCCTTTCACCGCAGTGCCTGAGCCATGGCCCCTGCAGACCCAGAGTGGCGGACCTGGAGCTTCTGCCTGGAAACTTGTCTCCTTTGCTCACTGGGACAGAGGGTCCCAGGGGCATTGTCCCTGAAGCGTGTGTGCCACAGTTGAGCGGGACCTGCTCTTCTGAGCAAATAAAGGAGCAGGCTGGTTTTCTTTCCTTTTCTTTTTTCTTTTCTTTTTTTTTTTTTTTTTTTGGAGAGATTTTTCACTATAGGGCGTGTGCGCTCGCCAGAGAGACAGAGAGACAGAAAGCGAGAAATCACCCCCCAGGGGGATGGCCACGCCACAATCCCTTCTCCTCTCAGGATCTTGGGCACGCATGCACACATGCCCGGTGTGAGTTTAAGCCACCAGGTTCGGGATGCGAACCGCGGTCGACTACGTGGGAGTCCAGCGACATAGCCATTACGCTAACTGCTGGTTCCCTTTTCTTTTTTTTTTTGGAGAGGTTTTTGCTATAGGGCGTGTGCGCTCACCAGAAAGCGAGACAGAGAGACAGAAAGCGAGAAATCACCCCCCAGTGGGGATGGCCACGCCGCAATCCCTTCTCCTCTCGGGATCTTGGGCACGCACGCACATGCGCCCGACGTGAGTTTTAAGCCACCGGGTCCGGGACTCGAACCGCAGTCGACTACATGGGTGTTCAACAACAGAGCCATGACACTAACCGCTGGTCCCTCTTTCTTTTCATTTTTGCTATAGGGGTGTGCTGGAGGTGGGAGGGGAGAGGAGAAAGCAACCCCCATGCAATCCCTTCTCCATCTTTACCTCCTTTTGGGATTTTGAGAATAAATGCATATGCACACGCTGTGTGTGAATTTTTTTCTTTTCTTTCTTTTTAATTTTTTTTTTACTTTGGGAGAGGTTTTTGCTATAGGGCGCGTGCACTCACCAGAAAGACCTATAGGGTGCGTGCACTCACCAGAAAGACAGAGAGACAGAAAGCGAGAAATCACCCCCCAGGGGGGATGGCCATGCTGCAATCCCTTCTCCTCCATTCTCCCCTCGGGATCTTGGGCACGCACGCACACACGCCTAGCATGCGTTTAAGCCACCGGATCCAGGACTCGAACTGCAATAGACTACATGGGAGTCCAGTGACATAGCCATTACGCCAACTGCTGGTCCTGAGAGATTTTTACTATAGGGTACATGTGTCCACTGGAGAGACAGAGACAGAAAGTGAGCAATCACCCCTGAGATGTCTGCATTGCAGTCCCTTCTCCTCTTGGGGTTTTGGACATGCACACACACACGCACTTGGCATGCGTTTTAAGTTACCAGGTCCAGGACTCGAACCTCAGTCGACTACATGGGAGTCCAGTGACGTAACCATCACACCATCTGCTGGTCCCATCCCGCTGTGTTTTTCAAGCCACCAGATGGGAGACTTGAGCAGCACATTAGGCCATGTGGGATCCGGCTGCCTTCACCCCCACAGCCACCTGCTGGCCCAGAGCAGGCGAATTTTCACCCCGTGGTTGGGAGGCCCGCGGCTGCAGGGTGGTGGTTTCCTGCAAGTCGGTGGGGCAGTGTCTGGGTGCATGGTGGGGGCACTGCAGGAGGGAGGACAGAACACCACCAGAGGGCAAGCAACGGCCCGAGAGTAGATGGAGGGGAGAAACAGTGTGAGGGCCACTCTGGTCTGGTAGTTAAGGCAGCCAGATGCTGCATGGCCACAGGGCTGGCAGGTGGTATGGTGGTTAAGGGTACTGAACTCCTACATGGCTGACCGCGGTTCAAGTCCTGGACCTGATGGCTGGCTTTGTCACTTTCTCTCTGTTCCTCTGTGGTCAAAATTATCTCTCTGTCCCTCTGTGGTCAAAATTATAAAATAAATATGGCACCAGCAGGTGGCGTGGTGGTTAAGGGGCTGGATACTCCCACATGGCTGACCATGGTTCAAGTCCTGGACCTGGTGGCTTGCTTTCTCACTTTCCTCTCTCTTTCTCTCTCTGGGTGTCTCTCTGGTCAAATGAAAATAAATGAATGAATGAATAAAATTGAATAAAATAATTCTTTAAATAAATAAATAAATAGAAAATAAGTGTGTTGAAATTTTAAAAAATTTTAAATAAACAAAGTTCAATAAAATAATTCTTTTTTTTTTTTTTTTTTGAGAGGTTTTTGCTATAGGGTGCATGCATGCGCCAGAAAGACAGAGAGCGACAGAGAGACAGAAAGCGAGAAATCACCCCCCAGGGGGATGGCCACGCTGCAATCCCTTCTCCTCCATTCTCCTCTTGGGATCTTGAGCACGCACACACACGCGCCCGGCATGAGTTTAAGTCATCAGGTCCGGGACTCGAACCGCGGTCGACTACATGGGAGTTCAGCAACATAGCCATTACGCTAACTGCTGGTCACAATTTCTTAGTTTCTTAATCAATAAAATAGTTCATTGTATGTGTGCGTGTGTGTGTGTGTGAATGTGTGTATGCATGTGTGAAACTTCTACTTATCTAGACAATAGTATATGGTGACCAAATCTCTTAGATTATGATGCATAGGGAAAGGAAGGTTATTTTCCCTTATGTATTCAAGTAACTTATTTCTATGAAAAATTTATGAAAATTATTCTTAAATCTCTATTACCCACAGATGACCATTCCTAATATATCGCTATTTTATTCTCCTTTCTTCTAGACACTTTGAACACATATTTTCCTGTGTACATGTTCATGTGTATTGTGAGTATGGGCACGTGTGCGTGCGTGCCCAAGATCCTGAGAGGAGAATGGAGGAGAAGGGATTGCGGCGTGGCCAGCCCCCCCGGGGGGGGTGATATCTTGCTTTCTATCTCTCTCTTTCTCTCTCTGTCTGGCGAGCGCACGCGCCCTATAACAAAAACCTCTCCAAAACAAAAAAGTCCTGGGCCAGCAGGTGGCGTAGTTACGCCACTGGACCCACTCATGGCTGACCCGAGTTCCCAGTCCAGGTGCTGGTGGTTTGAAAATCACACCAGGTGCGTGTGCGTGCGTACCCAAGATCCCGGGAGGAAGATGGAGAAGGGATTGTGGTGTGGCCACCCACCCTAGGGGGTGTTTTCTCACTTTTCCTCTTTCTGTCTCTCAAGTCAACATGCTCCCTATGGCAAAAACTTTAAAAAAAGGAAAATAATGTAAGAGATGCCTCTCTGTCTCTCCTGGAAAAAAATAAACTTGTTTTTGCTATAGGGTGCGTGTGCTCACCGGAGAAAGCGAGAAACCACCCACCAAGGGGGATGGCCACGCCGCAATCCCTTCTCCATTCTCCTCTTGGGATTTTGGGCACACGCATATGTGTGCCCAGCATGAGTTTAAAGTTGCCAGGTCCAGGACTCGAACTGTGGTTGGTCATGTGGGAACCCAGTGACATAACCATTATGCCATCGGATGGTCCCTAAACAAATAAAACGGGGCTGGCAGGTAGCCTGGTGATCGAGGCTCCCACATGGCAGACTGGGGCTCCTCGACATGGTAGCTCTCTTTCTCTCTCTCTCTCTCTATCTCTCTCTGGTGAGTGCACATGCCTGATAGCAAATTTAACAATAATAAATAATATTAAATAATTCTTTAAAAAAAATAGCAGTGGTGGAGTGATTATATCACTGGGCTTCCACATGGTTGACCACGGTTCAAACCCCAGACCCAGTGGCTGGAAAATCACACTAGGCACATGTATGTACGTACCCAAGATCCCAGGAGGAGAGTGGAGGAGAAGGGGTTGCGGTGTGGCCATCCCCCCTGGGGGGTGATTTCTCGCTTTCTATCTCTCTGTCTCTGTCTGCTTTTTCAGTGAGCGTACGTTCCCTATAGCCCTATAGCAAAAACCTGTCAAAGAAAAAAAAATAGAAAAGAAAAAATGATAAGGATGGGGCCGGTAGGTGGTGTGGTGATTAAGGACTCTGGACTCCCACATGACTGACTATGGTTTGAGTCCCAGACCATTTATTTTGTCATAGTTATTATTTTTTTATTTAACTTTTATTTACTATTATTATTTTCCAGTTTGATCAGAGAGAGGCAGAGAAAGAGAGAGAGGGAAAGTGACTGAGAAAGCAAGCCACCAGGTCTGGGACTTGAACCATGGTTACAAATGGTGGGAGTCCAGCGCCTTTAATCAGCGCGGCACCTGCTACCCCCATTATTGTTATTGTTTTGAAATTTGACCTGAGAGAGAAAGGGAAAGTGAGCCACCATAGTCACTCACAATGATCCGGGACTAGTACCCCTGGAAGATAAAAGAGCCTGGCAAAGGGAAGGGGCAAGAGTTGAAGTCCAGGGAGGAGGTGGAGCTCAGTTAGGAGGTGGGGCTGGGGAGGAGGTGGGGCCTTCCAGGAAGGAGGTGGGGCCAGGGAGGAGGTGGAGCCTTCTAGGAAGGAGGTGGAGCTCAGTTAGGAGGTGGGGCCGGGGAGGAGCTGGAGCTGGGGAGGAGGTGGGGCAAAGCAGGAGATGGGGCCAGGAGGGAAATGCAGCCAGGAAGGAGGTGTGGCCAATAAGGAGGTGGAGCCAGGGAGGAGGTGGGGCCAGGGAGGAGGTGGGGCCAGGCAGGAGGTGGTGCTCAGGCAGGAGGTGGGGCCAGGGATGAGGTGGGACCAGGAAGGAGGTGGGGCTGGGGAGAAAGTGGGGTCAGGAAGGAGGTGGAGCTCAGGAAGGAGGTGGGGCCAGGCAGGAGGTGGGGCCAGGGAGGGGGTGGAGCCAGGGAGGAGGTGGGGCCAGGGAGGAGGTGGAACTCAGTTAGGAGGTGGGGCCAGGAAGGAGGTGGGGCCAGGGAGGAGGTGGGGCCAGGAAAGAGGTAGAGCCCAGGGAGGAGGTGGAGCCCTGAAAGTAGGAGGGGCCAGGGAGAAGGTGGGGTAATGAAGGAGGTGGAGCCAGGAAGGTGGAGCCCAGGAAGGAAGTGGGGCCGAGGAAGAGCCCAGGCAGTCCTCTCGCCACAGTGGGCTTGGCACCCCCAAAACTTCACTTACAAGACACAAGATCCAAGAAAGTCACAAAGACATGCAGTCACAAACGTGGCAGAGAAACTAAACACGATTATTATTATTATTTATTGTCGTGTATGTTTTTTTTTGTTGTTTTGGCCATAGGGTATGAGCGATCGCCAGAGAGAAACAGAGGGAGAGAGAAAGGAAAGCAATAAATCACCAGTAGGGGAATGGCCAAGCCACAATCTCTTCTCCTCCAATCGCTTCTCGGAATCCTGGGCATGTGTGCACGTGCACCCAGCATGATCATTGAGATGCCAGGTCTGGGACTCAAACCCCAGCTGGCCACGTGAATCCAATGCCTTAACCTCCCCACCCCTTGCTGGTCCTTTCTTTGGAAACTTTCCCCCCATAGGGCACATGCATGCTTTTCAGGCCACTGGGTCTGGGACTTGAACTTGCTGAACTGGCCATGTGGGATCCAGCTCCTTAACTTCCATGCTATTGGCTTAGCTTCATCCTTTTATTACTAAAACGTTTATTTTCTGGGGCCAGCGGATGGCGTAGTGATTAAAGCATTGGATTCCCACTTGGCTAACCTCGAGTTGAGTCCTGGACTTGAATCTTGGGCATGCATGTGTGCGTGCCCAAAATCCTAGGAGGAGAATAGAGGAGAAGGGATTGCGGATGGTCATCACCCCTTGGGGGTGAATTTTTACTTTCTTTTTTCTTTTCTCTTTTTTTTTGGAGAGGTTTTTGCTGTAGGGCACGTGTGCTTGCCAGAGAGACAGAAAGAGACAGAGAGACAAAAAGTGAGAAATCACCTCCCAGGGGGAATGGCCATGCCACAATCCCTTCTCCTCCATTCTCCTCTCGGGATCTTGGACACGCATGCACACGCGCCCGGCGTGAGTTTAAGCCACCAGGTCCGGGACTCGAACCATGATTGGCTACATGAGAGTTCAGCGACATAGCCATTACTCTGCCAGTTCCCTCAGCAGGAGTTTTAAGCCCGCTGAGTCTGGGACTCCAACTGTGATCAACTATGTGGGAGTCCAGCGACATAACCATTATGACATCTGCTGGTTTCCTAAATAAATAATTCTATTTTTTTTTTTGGAGAGGTTTTTTTTTTTTTTTTCCACTATAGGGCGCGTGTGCTTGCCAGACAGACAGACAGAGACGGAGAGACAGAAAGCGAGAAATCACCCCCCGGGGGGATGGCCACGCCGCAATCCCTTCTCCATTCTCCTCTCGGGATCTTGGGCACGCACGCATACGCGCCTGGCGTGAGTTTTAAGCCACCAGGTCCGGGCCATGAACTGCAGTTGACTACGTGGGAGTCCAGCGACATAGCCATTATGCTAACTGCTGGCTTCCTAAATAAATAATTCTTTTAAAAAGGGGGCTTACACCTAGTTTGGGGGTTTGTGGGTACAGATCAGAGATGAACAGACATGAACTGGAGAAGAAGTCATTTAAATTTTTATTAAATATACTCTCTTGGCACAAATCTTTAAAATATATAAACATTATATATAAACAAAGTGTCTTCATGACATCAAAATATAATTCCAGACTAGGACCAGAGACCAGCAGGGGCGGGGGTGACCGCAGAGGCCCGAGAGCTGTTGTGAGCACAGGTGTGGGGGAGTGACGGCCCTGTCGACAGAGGGGGAGGCACGCTGGGGCCAGCAAATCCATTTGGTTTCAACCACCTGGGGTGGACCCCCCCCCAACTCCTGCTGTCCTTGCCATGCAGGGATGCTCAGGTTCCCTTTCATCTCTGTGTGAGGGGTGTCCCCTGTTTCTCTTGCCGAATCTGGGTGCTGGGCATGACTGGGAGAGGGAGTGCGGCCCTCATCCAGCAAGGACAGCCCCTCACAGCCATCAGAGGCTGCCTGGGTGTCCGGGGACAAGATTGGGGACAGCTAGCCAACACATGCAAAGGCAGGCCGAGAGGAATCTTCGCCCCCCCAAAAAGGTTCAAGCTGAAAAGAACAAAATGACGGATGAAGGGGGGAAATGAAGCCACGATTGGACACCCACACAAGGCAGATACGGCCACATGGCACAACGTGGCTGCTGAGAACCAGCCATCCACGTCTCCTGGAGCCCCATTCCAGAACTAAGGAACCAGTCAGGGGATGCATGGGAACAGAGAGACCCGCGGTGGGCCAAGCTGAAAAAGAAAAGCTTCCCCTTCCTTCCCCCCCCCAAAAAAAAATCAGGTAAGCCCCCCACATGATTAGGAAATGGGTGTTTCTGAGTTTCTGTGGGCCTGCCCTAGGGGACTTCTCGGTGCAACCAAGTAGCTAGGGATTCCCTGGGGTTCCCCCAACTCTTCCAAGCTCCCCATTCTACACTGTCCTGGGGGCTCTCGAAGGTCAAAAGCCAGCTCTGGACACACCGTTCAAGGAAATCACATGACGTTTGTGGGCGTGGCATTACTCTGTGTCCCTTCCATGTGCTCACTGTGGGGTGAGTGAGCCAGGGGCCCAGGGGGTGCTGCGGGTGGGCAGAAGGCCAGAAGTGGGTGAATGCAGGGAAGACCCATTTCCGGAGTCCCCACACCAGCGAAAGAGTCTGGCGGAGACAGGGGACAGTGCTGTGAAAGGCTATTCCTTTGTTCTTCTTTTTAAAATGTTTTTGTTATAGGGCGCATGCACTCACCGTAGAGAGACAGAGAGAGGGAAAGTGAGACATCACCCCCTCCCCAGGGGGGATGGCCACACCGCAACCCCTTCTTTTGGGATTTTGGGCATGCACGCACACGCGCCCGGCATGATTCTCAAACCTCTGCATCTGGGATTCGAACTGTGCTGTCAACCATGTGGGATCCAACCACCTTAACCTCCCCCTCCACCTGCTGGCCCAGGAAGGCTATTTCTGAGCAGGAGGGTCTGGGGACCAGGAGTCACTGTCCCCTAGATAACAATGGAGAAGGCAAGGGAAGCTGGGGGCGGGTGGAGAGGGGGTGCCTTCGGAGCCAAAGTTTGACCATGAGCCGCAGCCCAGCCCGGACAAGGTGCGGCTGCAGGAAACAGGTGTCTTCAGGGTCTGGAGGCCAGGCACGCGCGGCTCCAAGCCAGTGGGGACAGGGGTGACCAAATTAGCAGCTAGTGGGAGGAGACTCAGCGCCAGGAGGCGGAGCTGACAGTCCCAGACGCCTGCCCGGAGGAGGAACCCAAAGCCTCCAGCCGTCCTCCAAGGGCGCATTTGCAGGGCCCCAACGCCTGCTTTGCCCTCTCGAACTTACCAATCTGAGCCCAGCTCCTCCCCAGGCCCGTCTGCCTGTTCCACGGAGTGCCCGATGTGGCTCCCCCGCTCCGGGGCACACCCTCGTGTGTCGTAGGACTCGGAAAACCCAAAGGGCCAGCACCCCGCCCTGCGGAAAGCAGCCGGCTGCCCGCGGGGGGGCCCCTTAGCTCTGCAGGTGCAAAAGGAGGATCTGCATGAGGTCGAAGGTGGTGAAGCTGATGCCCACGGCGATGGGGCCCTTGAGCCAGTTCATGCTCAGGCCCTTGTAGAGGCCGCGCACCCAGCCTTCCTCGCGCACGATGGTGCGCAGGGTGCAGGCGATGGAGGTGCGCGGGGGGGCGGTGACGCCGGCCGTCTGCATCCCCCCCGCACCCCGTCCAGGGGGTAGGGGGCGGATGGGCCGATGAGGCCGGCGCAGGCCCCGAAGATCATGCGCTCGAAGGGGTAGGGCTGTCGGTGGCCGCTGTACTCTGCGGGCGGGCAGGAGAGGGGAGAAGGGGCGTGAGCGCGCCGCCAGGGGGCGTGCTCCCACAGCCACGGCTGCCGTCAATGAAACCCACCTGCACGGCCCACTTGGGCGTGCGGACGCTTGCACAACTGTCACGCACACGCACGCGTGAAAACTTCCATGCCACTTCCTGCCCTCTTACTTTTCTATTTTTTTAATTTTTAAATGTATTTTTATTTTTAGGAATTGTTTTTTATTATATTTATTTATTTTATTCTTATTTCATTTTATTCATTGTCTTTCTTTCTTTCTTTATTTGAAATTGACCAGAAAGAGAGAGGGAAAGTGAGAAAGCAAGCTGGCAGGTCCGGGACTCAAACCATGGTTGACCTTGTGGGAGTCCAGCACCCTCACCACTACTCCACCTGCTGGCCCCTATGAAGGAAACTTCTTTCCTGCAGTCAAGTTAGTGCCATTTTTCTCTTTCATTCCATACCACTCCATAGTACTTTGTGCAAATATCCCTCACTCTCGAGCTTTACTATCTTCTCCATCTCTCTCCAAGATCCTTGCCAATAGATTGTCATCACCCTTGTTTCTGCCATTGCATCTTGTGCTCTTTAGTTTTTTTACCCTGACCTTGTTCTTAGCTGTGCCTCATTGAGTGTAATGAAGTTCCTTTCTCGTCAGCCATGTGGGAGTCCAGCTGCCTTAATTAACCACCATGCCACCTGTCAGCCCCTTACTTTTCTATTTTTTAAAAGTTATTTTATTTAATTTTATTTATTCATTTATTTATTTCAATTTGACCAGAGAGGGGTAGAGTGTGTGTGAGAGAGAAAGAGAGAGAAAGCAAGCCGCCAGGTCCGGGACTTGAACCACAGACAGCTGCTATGTGGGAGTCCAGCTGCCTTCACCACCACGCCACCTGTCAGCCCCTTACTTTTCTTTTTTTTTTTTTTAAAGAATTATTTTATTTAATTTTATTCAGTCATTATTTATTTTATTTGACCAGAGAGAGAGAGAGAAGGAAAGTAAGAAAGCAAGCTGCCGGGTCCAGGACTTGAACCATGGATAGCCATGTGGGAGTCCAGACGCCTTAACCACCATGCCACTTGCTGACCCTGACTTTTTTCTATTTTTAAAAAATATGGATTTCTTTCTTTCCATTTGTTAATATTATTATTTTCTTTTAATTTGACCAGAGAGAGAGAGAGAGAGAGAGAAAGAAGAGAAAGAGAATGAGAGAAAGCAAGGCGCTAGGTCCGGGACTTGAACCATGGTCAGTCATGTGAGAATCCAGCGCCCTCAACTACCATGCCACCTGCTGGTCCTAACTTTTCTATTTTTACAAAATTATTTCATTGTATTCATTATTATTATTTTAGAGAGATTTTTGGCTATAAGTTGTGTGTGCTCGCTGGAGACACAGTGAGACAGAAAGCAAGACATCACCCCCCTGGGGGATGGCCACGCCGCAATCCCTTCTCCTCCATTCTCCTCTCAGGATCTTGGGCACGCACGCACGCATGCCTGGAATGAGTGTCAAGCTTCTGGGTCCAAGACTCGAACCTACGTGGGCCACGTGGGAGTCCAGCGACATAACCAATACACCATCTGCTGGTCCCGTTATTATTATTCTTTTAGTTTACTATAGAGCACGTGCATGCACCAGAGAGAGAAAGAGAAACAAGAGAGTGCAAGCGAGAGCAAGCTGGCAGGTCTGAGACTCAAACTACAGTCGGTCGTATTGGAGTCCAGCGCCTTAACCACCACGCCACCTGCTGGCCAGTGAAGGGATGATTTCTCACTTCCCCTCTCTCTCTGTCTCTCTTTGGCAAGCACACACAGTCTCTAGTAGATTTAAAAAAAAAGAAAAGAAAAAAAAAACCTGCATATGGAACCAGCAGTTGGCGTAATGGCTATGTTGCTGAACTCCCATGTAGTCGACCGTGGTTCAAGTCCGGTCCAAGTCCCGGACCCGGTGGCTTAAACTCACGCAGGGCGCGTGTGCGTGCATGCCCAAGATCCCAAGAGGAGAATGGAGGAGAAGGGATTATGGTATGGACATCCCTTTTGGGGGGGTGATTTCTTGCTTTCTGTCTCTGTCTCTCTCCATCTCTCTGGCTAGTGCACGTGCCCTATAGCAAAAACCTCTCCAAAAAAAGTTTTGGGCTAAGTTTCTCAGTTGCAGTAGGATAAAATATCTCATCTAGATCCTGGGCCCTAGCCTGCCCCACCCAGGGGTCATAGAGTCCCTCTGCCTCCTCCCCCTGGCCTCCGGGTCTGGGTGACTGGCTCAGAGTGCTGCCCCACGAGGCTGCTCCTTAAATGCCCCTACCCCCACCCCCCTGCCACCCTTACCTCTGTGTAGGCTCTTGAGTGTCTCATAGGTGAAGAAGCTCAAGCCAGCGTAGGGAATGACCCCGAGCACAGTAGGTGTAAATCCATGGTACAGAGTCTTCAGCCCCTCTTCCCGGGAGATGCGGATGAAGACGTGAAAGATGTTGCTGTACCTGTCAGGACAGAGCAGCCAGAGGGTGGGCTGCAAGCCAAGCCCGGCAAGGGGGAGCCGACAGCCTCAGTGCATGGACTCCCAGCTCCCGCGTGGCCCACTGCAGCTATGAGCCTGGGGCTGGAATTGTTCTTCCTGTTTCCCAAAGAATTATTTTTATTGGGACCAGCAGGTGGCATGGTGGTTAAGGCGCTGGACACTCGCACGTGGCCGACCGTGGTTCGAGTCCCGGACCTGGGGGCTTGCTTTTTTACTTTCCCTCTCTCTCTGTGTCTCACTCTGGTCAAGTTAAAAAATGAATGAATAAATAAATTAATTAGGGGAAAAAAGTTATTATTTTTTGGGGGGGAAGGGTTTTTGCTGTAGGGCATGTGTGCTTGCCAAAAAGACAGAGACAGAGAGAAAAAATCACTCCTTGGGTGACGGCCATGCTGCGATCCCTTCTCCTCCATTCTCCTCTCGAGATCTTGGGCACGCACGCACACGCGCCCGGAGTGAGTTTAAGCCACCGGGTCCGGGACTCGAACCATAGTTGACTACATGGGAGTCCAGCGACATAGCCATTA